GAAAAATAAAGTGCACGCCAAGTAATCATAAATTTAATGCCCCACATTCATGGATAAATTCCCGCTATGTTTGCGTATAAGTTGAAGTTTAAAATTGTACTAATTCAACGTAATTATATTATTTAGTGAGACTAAAACTTGCATTTTAAATTCAAAAATCTTTTTTTCAATATATAAACCAAGAATGATACATTTTTTCTATTGGGAGGCTAATTGTTTTTTACTTAGTATTTGATTATTGTGGTGTGATAAAAAAGATTAAAATATAAAAATAAAAGTGATATTTATCTGATATACTTTATGTTTTATAAATATATAAATTTATTTTAAAATTATACCGAAAATATATTTATTTTATATATCTATTTTCATCTCTTCAATTAAATATGTTTATGTTTTTATTATTTTTTTCTTTTTTGTTATGAAATAATAAACAAATGTTATTTTAAAGCAATGACTTCTATAAGTTTATTCAAAAATTATAAATTAAATCTCATACTTTTTATTTGATTGATATAACAATTTTCAAAAATTAATTATCAGATACAATACCTTTTAGAGTTATTCATGGATATTATTTTTCATATAAAAGAAAAGGCACTGCTCTTCATATAATTTGAACAACTCATTTTAGATTATCATATGTCCAATTAAGTTGCAAGATTTAGAGGTATTTGTACAGGTGATAATAATTGATTTTTTAAAATTTTTATTTTATAAATCTGAATTTTATATTAATATATTAAAACAATGTAAAAAATAATTTAAAGTGAAAAAAAATAAAAATTCTGGTTGAATCCTATCTCAAACACTTTTTAAAATAAAATTTTAAAGCTTGTTTATTTTTATATTTCAAAAACATTTTAAAAAAATTAATTTTATGTTATTTTTTCTCTATTTCAAAATTATTTTTTATGTTTTTATATTATTTTTATATACTAATATTTAAAAATTTTAAAAATTTAAAACTATTATTTTAATATAATATCAAATAAAAAATAATTTTATAAGTAATCACACCAATTGTTATGTTTAATACTGAGAGCATGTTTGAGAATGCACTGCAAATTATGTTTTTAAAAAATTTAATTTTTTTTGTTAAAATTTAATATATTTTAAGTTGTGTTTTATCTAACCTGGTTGAAACTAAAAACACTCTTTCTTGATTTATTTTGAAAAAACAAAAAGATATTATTATAATAACAACTAAATTATTTTTGTTCAAAACAAGAATTTAAATTGTACATTTATGGTTGTGATTGTAAGAACAACATGGTGTATTGAATAATGATTTGTTAATTAATGAATATAATTATAAATTTAAGAAACATTCTGGACAATAAAAATCATTTTACATATCACGAAAATAGAAAACAAAATGAAATTGCTGGTTTTTGAGGCTGTATATGTTTTTTCCACATATGTTTTTTTTTTTGCATGGAAATTCAACTAAAAAGGATGTACATCTTTTTTTTTTTTGTGATTTATATGGGATGTTCGGGTCAGTTTACGCACATCACGACTAATTCTTCTTGGAATTATATAAGGTTATATAGCAGCGTAATATATCACCCTTGACCTTCGAAAATCCTAATCTTGAGATTATGGCCCCAGTACATTGTCAACCATTTAAAGGTGACAACATTTATTATGTAGTAGTTATAATATATTGTTTGGTTATAAAATTGGTCATAATTTTTATATGTGATCGTATTATTATTTGTGTTCAAAATGCTATTTTGTTAAAGATAAAATTGCATATTACTCATTATATTTCTATAACACAGCCTCTCTTTATCTATTTAATGAGTGACCCTACCATTATATCATTGACCGACATTTCATATATTTTTATATAGTTATATTATTTGTTTTTTTAATTATTTATTAATCCTCGTAAATCTTAATTCTCGAGCCATTTATAACTTCCTATCTCATTTTTGAATTTTCTTTTCGTTTCTGGTTCAATGTATTTGATCTCTATTTTTTTCACTTTCAGCTCTATTATAATTATATATTATTTTGTATACTGTGATTTTAGTTTTAAAATCTTTAGATTTTTTTAGCCAGACCGATTTAGTTTAAAATTAAATATATTAAATCAAATCTAACTTAGTAAAAAATAAAATTCAATTATTATTTTTATTTTTAATTATATTTTATTTAAAAAACTAGTGTTTTTAAGTTAAAAATAGAGACACTCTCTCTACTGTTCTAGCCAGAATGAATCCGATCCAAAACTAAATGCATTGTACCGGGTCCGACTCGATAAAAAAAATTAATTTTTATTTTTATTTGTTTTTTATTTGAAAAACTAGTGTTTAATATTATTTAATAATACTACATAAATTAGACGGAGATCGCTTGATGATGTAATATTTGCATTAAAAACTATCAATCAATCAATCAAAATATATATAACCTTAATTAATTTTATTTTTTTTAACTAAATACATTAAATTATTTTTTGTTCAACTTTAATTTTAACTAAATATATAAATACCAAATCAACCTCAACTAAAAGTGTTTTATATAAAATAATTTTATAAAAATTATAACCATAAAAGCTATTATAATACTATACACCTTTATATTTTAACTTGTTTAAATACTTTAAACACAATTGATGCAGTGTGGTTAAAATTATATTTTATAATAATTTTAATTTTAAATGTATTTTGTTAGTTAACATGCATCAAAGTGTTGCCTAGTTTCAAATGAAAATCTTATTTTGAAATCCTAGTTACCAAAAAGCGATGCAAAAGCTATTGCAATGATAAACACACACTAAAATGCTTGAAAGTATAGTAATTTTTGTTTTTAAGTCTATTTTTCATGAAAAAATATTAAATTTATAATTTCTAATATTTTATAATTATTTTAATATATTAATATTCAAAATAAAAAAAACTATCTTAATATATTTACAAATAAAAAAATACTTAATATCATAATATCACCCACAAATTAAGTATATGAAATGCTGTCTAGCGGGCGCATGTTAGATTTTTCATTTAAGAAAAAGGGTAGAAAAATCAAACAAGGGAATTTTATGTGATTGTGATCGAACCCTAGGTCCCTTTTGCTTGGACTTTGGGTGAGATTGAAACAAGTTGCAAAGGAAGTTGATTGCTCTTCGGACGCCTCGAGTGGAGATATTTAATGGTCACGATGGTCATTTGCTATCATATCACGTCATTATTATCTTAATTTCTCCCGTAAATCTTCTCGTGGCACCTTTACAAGCCCTTACTTGTTGGAGGTGGGACAAGATCGGAAGGTAATATTTGCCGGTTTTTTTACTTTAAATTTAATTATTTTGATAAGTTATATTAAAAATAATTTTTTAAAAAATAATAACAATTATACTTTTAAATACCACCATCTTGGCCATGAAAAATCACGTGACGCCCATGATTAGACCCTCTCGAGACTCACTTTGCTACGGGCCCAGGACGAGCCTCGTCCATGCACTTCCTCGAACTCCAGTGGTTTTCCTGTACTTGATAAACCCGACCGACCTCTGCTGGGTGTACTTGAAAATCTACAACTCAGAACATCATCTAGAATAAATTCCAAATTAAGTTTTTTTTTAAATATCTAATACAGTTGATTTATCCACAGGCAGCTCCATTTGCGTCGATATCAAGTATTCTTTTTATTTTTAACTTATAGATGCTGATAAAATTGTAAAAATTTAGCATTAAAGAGTTTGTGTTTTTTTTTATGGTTTTAGGTTTAATTTCTTTGTTGTTTACACGATTGCTAATGAAAGTTTATATAAAGATTTATATAATTATTAATTTTAAAATCCGTGAAATTAATTATGATATGCACAAGCTGATTTATATAATTATATTAATCTAAATTTTTTTTTTTTTCTAAAAAAATATCTTATTTTAATAAAAAAATCTTAAGGTAACTCAATTATCCAAATTGTTTTCAAGTTACCCCAATCGGGTTTGATGTGTATGAGATGTGAAACGTCCATCATGGTGGCATAGAGGCAGACAAGTGTATACCAGCTTTGCTGCATCATTGACTTGTGGGCAAATTAATAATTCGAGTCTGAATCATCCAGCAGGAAACCTCCAGATACATATGGATGTGGGGGCACAGACATCATTCTTGACTTAGTCCGTTTAGAGATATATATATATGTATTCTTTTTAAAGTGAGTGTTACTTATAAATATATTAAAATAATATATATTTTTTATTTTTTAAAAATTATTTTTATATTAATATATTAAAATAATTTAAAAATATATTTTCAAAACATTTTTTTCTAAAATATTACCACATTTTTTTAAAAAAAATAGTTGTTGAATCTAATTTTTTTTTATAAATATTAATTATTAATATTTTTTTTAAATTCAAGAAAATTCTATTTTTCATAAAGTGTATTTTATAAAACTAAGTGAGGGAGTAAAATTCCAGTTATCTCAAGTTTTTACACAAAAATACATAATCTCAAACCCTTTATTGTCACTATATCCCTTAAAAATAATAATTAAAAAAAATATCAGATTAATAAAAAAAATAATTAATCAATTATTCAATCCATAAACATCACTACCAAACTAAATATATTGTTTGCAAGGAGGGGTGAGCACTGAGCACACTTGCTTTTGATCGCATTCTAGACGAATCTACTTGAGTTCTCTCTCACTCCCCTCTCACTGAGCACTGTCTCGTTTTTTTCGCTCAAATTAGACTAAAAAATATTTTTTTTTCAAATTTTCTTTATTTTTTCTGTCATTTTAACATTAACCATAGCTTTTGAGAAGGAATTTTTTTTAGCTATGGGAATTAGGGCTATATCCAGCTTATTTTTTAAAACATTTTTCATTTGACATTTAGAATTTATCATACACGATTCAGAGTGGCTGAGCACACTGGACAAGATAAGGCTATAACGAAGTGTTTCTACAGAATTTCAGTATTTTGACCTGGTATCTGGTATAAATTTAGCAGAATTCACTTAAAACACAGCAGGAATGCTACATCTCAAGGGACAGGATATATAAACTAGATATGTTTGAAACACTTACAATCATATTCACTATGTAAATGAAGATAAAATACATCTTCAAAGTAGCGAAGGAAAAAAAAAGTTGGTGAGAGGAGGCGTCTCTGGTGCACCTAGGGAATGATGCCGAGGACAAGTCCTGAGACATGATACAATGCAGTGGCTTTGAAACTGCCCCCGCAATGTAGACTGTTTAAGTTAAGGTAAGAGTGAAGAAAACTATCTGCCATCATTGGTCATCAACTGTGAAAAAACTTGGCTGTTTTTAATCTCTGAGGTACCATCACCACTGTCTGTTTCAGTCTCAGAGTCATTTGATGGATCTTGGGGAGCTATTCTAGGTGATGGGAGCTCCGGTGCATTCACATTGCTGTCTTCGCGTGGTTCTCTTGATGGTTCAGAATCAGATTCTTGAAGCTGAAATGCGTGCTCCAAATTCCATAATACATCGCCCATGCTTGGCCTATCGACACCATAGTCAGCCACACATTTCTCTGCTGTCTCTCCAAATTTCTTCAAAGAATTTTGCTTTATCTGTCCCGCGAGATGAGGATCGATAATTTGATCGAGCATGCCCCTCTTCTGCCATTGCATTGCCCATTCTGCTAAATTCACCTGCTCCGTAGCAAGTAAGGGATCAACTGCAGGCCTCGCACAAAGAACTTCCAAAAGCACCACTCCAAATGAATAAACATCTGATTTGTCAGTAAGCTGCTGTCTTCGGAAGTACTCTGGATCAAGATATCCAAAACTGCCTTTTACACCAGTACTTACATGAGTCTCGTCCAGACATGGGCCTGATCGTGAAAGACCGAAATCAGCAACCTTGGATGCGTAATTTTCATCTAGCAAAATATTTGTAGACTTGATGTCACGATGGATAATGCCTCGAGCAGAACCTGTATGCAGGTAGTGAATTCCTCTTGCTGCACCAACGCAAATTTCAAGCCTTTGCTTCCAGGACAGATGAGAACATCCCGGGCCATACAAGTGTTCCTTCAATGGACCTTTTTCCATGTACTCATAGACAAGGATCATTTCTGACTGTTCTTCACAATACCCAATGAGGGAAACAAGATGGTGGTGGCGTATCTTCGACAAAACTGTTATTTCAGTTTGGAATTCAGGGAGCCCTTGCCTGGATCCTGGCGCACCCCTCTTTACAGCAACCTTTGTGTTGTCTTTAAGAACACCTTTGAAAACAGTACCAAATCCCCCCGAACCAATTTTCAGACTGTTATCAAAATTGTTGGTCGCCAACTGTATGTCAGCAAAAGGGATCTTCAAGCTGCGATATTCATTCACAGTCACTTCTGACATTCTACCATGAGTACTACCTCCATATACACATAAAGTTGCCCAACCTGCACTTTCTAATCGTCTTGGTTTGGGTTTCTTCTTCTTGCATTTACAAGAAAGTGTTACTACAAAGACAATCAAACACAGAACAACAAAGCCTCCTATACTCGAACCCACCGCAATCCAAACAGCTCTCTTCTTGGGACCACTTTGTGAACCAGAAGGATTTATCATCTTCATGATCTCCACCCCATTCAAAATAGCATTGACTCTCAAAAGACCACTAATGGCCGAAGGTCCAACACTAACACGCACAGCCCCTAAATCATTAGAATCCACAATATAGTCTACATACATTGGAGATGAAAGTACATGGAATGTAAGGGATGACAAATCAAAATCACTTTCCGCGGAGTACTCGTTTAGGTACACATCAAAGTACAACTGATTAAGTGAAGCACTGACAATATCACAGAAATGTAATCGAACCAAGTGCCGAACCCCGACAGATCCCACTGGAAAATCCCATGTGATGTTAAATCTCGACTGAATTGAGTTATTATCCTTATTCAACTGCTGTGCAGTCATATATACATTTTCAGGCGCAATCTCCCTACTAGCACCCCCAATCTGATAATTAGGAGCACTAGCAGTAACTGCACGTTTCGCAGCAGATTTCAAAACAAGAAAGTCCTCATCAGGAATCCAAGTTCTCCACACAGTATCATTAAAAGGCACCAATTTTGAACCTCCAACATTAATCCTATGAATTGTCTCTAAAACGTGTGAAGAAAGATTCTTGTACACTTCAATTCCATTAGCACTAACCAATTTAGCTCCCTCATCAAGAATAAAATCCTTAGGAGCTGAAAACACTTCAATTGCATTCACAAATCCAAAACTTGATTTACAAACAGGACTAAACAAAATTTCAAGAGCATTACTATCAACTCTAAATACGTACTCTTTAAGCACAACAACTTTGGTACTAAAATCACTCAACAACAAATTCCCATTAACTAAAACACTAAACTTTGCGGTAGATAAATCAAAGCCTTGCGCTTTAAACGGAGAGAAATGTAAACGTACAAAGTGGGTCCGGTTTCTCTCAACACTGAACTTGTAGCTTGAAGCAGTAGTGAAAACTCTAGCTGTGTTGTACAAAGTTGGTGAATTTGGAGATGGGTTTTGGTTCTTGGGTGAAATGGACTGGCCTTTAGAGGGAAAGATTGAACCTTGTGAAGTGGAATCAGCTCCAAAAATTCTGCTATCTGTAGGAATGAAAGAGGTGTTGGTGTTTGAACCACAGTTGATAAGGTAGTTATCCGTAGGAGTGAAAGAGGTGGAGAAGGAGACGGGAGAGAGCATTGTCAGGGAGAGCAAAAGAAGTGTTTTGGTTTCCATTGAAGCAGGTTTTTTGAGGTTTCATCAAGAGAGATAAAAGGGAGGGCTTTTAAGACATGGAAAGCAATACATGATTATGGTGAAGTGTTGAAGATAGGTGTGCTTGTGCAAGAACAGGATCAGTTGAAATTTGACTTTTGAAATTAGTCTCTAAATCAAGTTTGACAACTACGAGAAAAAGAAAGCTAATTTCACTTTATTTTTGTGTTACTTGGAGGTGCTGCTACCCAATTTTTCATTTCCAGAATCTAAACATTAACACAACAAAAACTTTGAGAGCTTTCTATTAATCCATTAAAAAGCATTTTTAATTCACCTGCTAGCAATGACATAGTTTTGCAGTGATGACTTGGAGTCCACTAGCTTCACAAAGTGGGCGACAGATTTCATCGATTCATTTTGCATTCCTATATCATACAGTAATTTAGAAAACCCTAATTCTTAACACTAAAGGATCAGTTGACAAATTGAATTCTCAAGTGTTTATCATTCATCTCGGCCAAACCCCAAAGTTTCCTGCACAGTTTCACCACACATGCCATAGCAACCAGCCCCTCCGCCATAAATTTAAGCTAGGGCGGAAAAAGATGTAGTCATGTAGTTGTCAAAGAAGACACAAAATTTCCTCACCCTTTAACAAAGGGGTAATTTCCTCACCCTTTAACAAAGGGGTACCGTGCAATCAATTGCCATTATTATTGTCTTGATAGCTCTGGCCCCTGGATGCTCCATCAGCTTGTGGGTTTAGTGGCATCACCACTGTTAAGCAGATGGATGGGCGGTGTATTGCCTTGGTGGGCAAAATTTCTTTGAATTTGCTTTGCTTGGTGGATGTCATTTTCATGCATGTGTTACATGAATGAGCTGTAACCCTAATCATGATTCCATGAATTTTACCTCGAAGAGATGTGAGTTCTGCTGTTTTCATTATCTCTTAAAAGAATCCAAACACATTGAAGGAAACTGATTGAAAGAAGTGTTTCATGGTAAAGTCATGATGAGAAAATATATTTAAAGGCATCGGAGAAAGAATGAGAAGATACATTATTAGCTAATCAAATCTATAATGAAAAGCTTAATTCAACTACATTAATGTGTTAGTCCTTTTGATTAAAGATTATGTCATCTTAATTTCCCAGATGAAAGAGCCCTTCATGAATTTATTGGCCCAAAAAGACTAAGTGGGCTGCATTGGGGAGATCTGATGAGGTGGGCTTCGCCAGAATATCTGGTCTCATGAATTGGAGCTCCATTAATAACCACGAAAGAGCATTACTCTCTCATCTTTAATCCATTATGAACAGAACATTAAAAAAACAAAGAAAATCAAAATTCAATTAAGATTTCCGAGACTTAAAAATTAAAACAATGCACTTTTATTGGATTTGTTGGGTATATAAATCTATTATTTTTATTTAAAATTACATTGTTTTAACTTTTTATTTAGTTTAGATTGAGTTTCATAAAATTAATTATATCAACTTGATAAATAGCTTAGGTTTAATCAAGTAAATATTAAAATTAATTAAAATTAAAAGTTGGATTGACTTGAATTATGAGTTTGGAATTTATTAAATCAACATATGATGTCGTATTGCGCTTAATATCCATCTTAATAATAATAATAATAATAATAAAGGACGAGTAGTATTGTTTTTTCCTCATTATTTTAAAACATGATTTTATTTTATTTTATATTAGCAGGTTAATATATAATTTAGATATGACCAGGTTGAAAATCTAGGTTGATTTATAACTTGATTAACACGAAAAACCCAATAAAAAATTATTAAAATTAATTAATTTTTTTTATATATAATATATATAAAAAATTATTAAAATTAATTAATTTTTTTATATAATATATAGTTTTTTTAAATAAAAATTTAGTTGAATCAAATTAACTTGCGTAAAAATCTATGCTTTTTTAAAGGTAAAAAACTCTACCTACTACGGCGTCGTTTTTGTAGGCCCTTGAGTCTTGAATAAAACCGACGCTAGAAATCTACTTTTCAGCGATGATCAACACTTTTATGCACAATACAAAACCCCCCCCCCCCCCCTCAATTCTTTTCTCACTGTAAGTAATCAAAACAAAATCTTTTCTTGATTTTGATTTTTAATTTCCAATTTCTAGAGTTTTTCTTTATTAACCTTTTTCTTTAATCTCCCCAATCTAATAAGCCATTCAATATAATTTCATAATTCAGCTTCGATATGCATAAATTTCGTTGCTTTATACCGATAAGTATTGAAAATGCATAGTCAATAGTTAATGTTGGGGTATGGGTTTTGTTTTGTTATTATAATGCAGGTATTTTGATGCTGGAAATCTCTTAAAGTTCCTTGCTTGAATCCCATTATGGTAAAGGAATTCACTTTTCAATTATTAATTTTTTATTATTATGTGTTTATTGCTTTGTGTTTTTTAAGATTTTTAAATGTTTATCAAATTGACGCTGCTTATGTTAGTCCCAGTAGTCACTGATCACGTTGATTAAACTTGGAGATTAATTTGTATCCTACACGGACGTGTGTTGTGTTCGACAAGCATATCCATGTCGGACTTCGTTATTTTCCGACATTTTACTTTGATTTGAAATGTCCAAGTGGTGGTGCCTGTGTTCGAGTATCTAGAATCTTGCACAGGTGTTCCACGGTAAAGTGAGTAGCTTGAGTAATACACAGAACATTAGGTAGGTTGGTTGTTGAAGGCAAGGTCGAGTATTTGGTTGTTTGAGACCATGTGGCCGGAAAACAAACCTTTGCTGGTCTGCGCTTGGGAATGGATGAGTTTATTGGAATTTTAATGAGAGTATTTAATTGTGTATTTGGAAGTTTTGATATAGTCGTTTAACTCTGAATGTTTTTAAAACCGCCTTTTGTTTTTAATCTTGATCATAAAAAATGAAACACGAGTAAACAGTTATACAGAAATGCTAGACCATGTTTTACTTTCGGAGAACATGTTGCTTGGACTTGGGACATCTGTATCTAATACAAGTTCATGTTCAACGTGGATACTTGTGTCGGAATCAGTTGCTATTCAGAACTTCCTTAAACTTTTTTTGTTTATATTAAATGTTTAAGTGTCATAACCCATGCCTAGTTATTTGACACGGGTGTTCTTGGGGGTAAAGAAAGAGTCAGAGTATCTTATGCAACATTGGGTGGCTTGTTGATACCAAAGCTCTCTTTCTCTGTCTCACAAGTGAGAACGGGCTGAGTTTTTTGAAGACATTGTTAGAGGCATTTTACCAGGGAATTGGAGGTTTTGATATGCTCAACATATGAATGTCTTGCCAAATGGGTTTCTGACCAGTATCTCAACATGTCTTGTTTGATTTGGTCCTCATGTTCAAATGCTCAACATTTTTCATAACACTGAGGAAGTTTGAGCTTAAGTTCAATCTTGGTGTGATGTTTTATTTCTATGTCTTGTTTGATTTGGTCCTCATGTTCACATGCTCAACATTTTTCATAACACCGAGGAAGTTTGAGCTTAAGTTCAATCTCGGTGTGATGTTTTATTTCATTCATGATGCATAATGGGATGATGGTTTTCTGGGTGTGATAATTGGATGCAGGATCCTAATTTTTTCATCGATGAGAAGGCTGAAAGTAGAGTTTATATCGGTAACCTTGACTTGAGAATAACAGAGTAAGTAAATGTATGAAAGTTGAATTCTTAATTTTTTAATTTTCTGGTGCGAGTGTCAGCATAAATTCATATTATCATGTTTTGCCCATTTCATTAACGCTACATCTTCTTCAGGGCTGCTCTGATTAAGATGTTTACTCCTTATGGCAAGATTTTATCCGAAGAATTTCTATGGCATACTCGTGGACCAAAACGTGGAGAGCCAAGGGGCTTTGCTTTTATCCAGTTTAGCACTAAAGAGGTAAGCTGTATGCTTCTTTTGCATTTTTACCAAGGCAAACTCCTGATTTCCACATTTAAAGTGAGTATGCAGGAAGCTAAACTGGCCAAGGAGAAGATGCATGGGAGGTTGGCTTGTGGCCGCCCTTTGGTTGTTCGTCTTGCCAGTGAGAAATACTTGGATGAAGCAGCACAAGATTCTTCCACAGCACTTGGTGAGGCGAAGAAAGCTGGCCTTACTGGTAGCACTTTAGGGAAGACAAGTCGTAGTGCCAAGATAGCTGCAATAAAGAACAAATTGAGAGCCTTGGAAGAAGAGGGCCCGAGTATGAAGAAGCAGAAGCAAGCTGACAGTGACTCTTGTAAGGATAGTCTTGACCACTCACAAGACAAGGGATAGGTGCTGAGGAGAACTTTGGAAACTAAAGGGTTTCAAAACCCATGTACTGTTTCTTGGAATATACTCAGTATGGTTTTAACCTTAGGATTATTTTGATACATAACATCGTGGGAAAATCATCTGCTGTGGGTTTCAATTGCTTGAGTTTTGTGCATAACCTTCTGGCTTGGTTACTCGTATCAAAATTGTGCTGCAAACATTTCTAGGACTCTGAAAATTAAATTTATCCTATAGATTCTCATACCCCTTTGAAATGAAATTAGAGGCATTTTACCAGGGAATTGGAGGTTTTGATATGGTCAACATATGAATGTCTTGCCAAATGGGTTTCTGACCAGTATCTCAACATGTCTTGTTTGATTTGGTCCTCATGTTCAAATGCTCAACATTTTTCATAACACTGAGGAAGTTTGAGCTTAAGTTCAATCTTGGTGTGATGTTTTATTTCTTTCATGATGCATAATGGGATGATGGTTTTCTGGGTGTGATAATTGGATGCAGGATCCTAATTTTTTCATCGATGAGAAGGCTGAAAGTAGAGTTTATATCGGTAACCTTGACTTGAGAATAACAGAGTAAGTAAATTTATGGAAGTTGAATTCTTAATTTTTTAATTTTCTGGTGCGAGTGTCAGCATAAATTCATATTATCATGTTTTGCCCATTTCATTAACGCTACATCTTCTTCAGGGCTGCTCTGATTAAGATGTTTACTCCTTATGGCAAGATTTTATCCGAAGAATTTCTATGGCATACTCGTGGACCAAAACGTGGAGAGCCAAGGGGCTTTGCTTTTATCCAGTTTAGCACTAAAGAGGTAAGCTGTATGCTTCTTTTGCATTTTTACCAAGGCAAACTCCTGATTTCCACATTTAAAGTGAGTATGCAGGAAGCTAAACTGGCCAAGGAGAAGATGCATGGGAGGTTGGCTTGTGGCCGCCCTTTGGTTGTTCGTCTTGCCAGTGAGAAATACTTGGATGAAGCAGCACAAGATTCTTCCACAGCACTTGGTGAGGCAAAGAAAGCTGGCCTTACTGGTAGCACTTCAGGGAAGACAAGTCGTAGTGCCAAGATAGCTGCAATAAAGAACAAATTGAGAGCCTTGGAAGAAGAGGGCCCGAGTGTGAAGAAGCAGAAGCAAGCTGACAGTGACTCTTGTAAGGATAGTCTTGACCACTCACAAGACAAGGGATAGGTGCTGAGGAGAACTTTGGAAACTAAAGGGTTTCAAAACCCATGTACTGTTTCTTGGAATATACTCAGTATGGTTTTAACCTTAGGATTATTTTGATACATAACATCGTGGGAAAATCATCTGCTGTGGGTTTCAATTGCTTGAGTTTTGTGCATAACCTTCTGGCTTGGTTACTCGTATCAAAATTGTGCTGCAAACATTTCTAGGACTCTGAAAATTAAATTTATCCTATAGATTCTCATACCCCTTTGACATGAAAATCTGGATGGTTTGACAAGTATATATATACACACACACACACACACACACACATATATTTATATATATTGGGGAGAAATGTGTTTTTGGTGGAATGGACAATTTTATTTATCTGATTTGATGAAATCTAAAGATGACTTTGGCTGTTTTTCTTCCTCATTCTTTTTCAATGAAAGGACGATATATGGCCCAGACAACAGCTTAAAAGGAAAGAAAACACCTAGAAAAAGGATGCAATGAGATGCTCATAACGGCTCACTGCGAGTTATTCCGTGTATGTCCATTGGCTTCGTTCTTTGTGCGAAAAAGCTGACACCATCAAGTAAGCAATGCTTAGTCTTCCTGGTTTGAAATATGAGGTTTTTGTTCCTTCCTGGCTTGGTTAGCAACATTTGAATCGAACTGCTTTTGCCTTCATAATCCAGGATAATGTTGCTTTCGTGATTATCTGATTCATGGGAGGCAAATACCAAATGGTAGCTGGCTGATAATACCTTTTATGTTTGAAAGTGTTTTACCAGAACCTCACCGTACATGTTTCCTCACCTCACCTCTTCACTTACTTTTATGTAGGTTTCATCTTCCTAGCAAGTAGAGATGAAATGCAGTTTGATTTTTCCTTTGCAATACAAATGGGAATGGCTAAGTTTTTGTTTGTGCTAGCTTGCGAATAATGGAGAATTCCTCATTAGCCACTTTTTCTTGAGAATAATATGTTCTATATGTTCTACTGAGTACTGATTGTCCTCCTCTCCTTGTTTTCACATGATTTCTCATTTTAGGTTTGACATTGTAACTTTTAGTACAACCATTTTTGATTGTGTTCTTCTTGGCTTTTTCCTAAACAATTTTGTGATGCTATATATTGACGTCAAAATCCTTTTCATGTCAAGATGGATGCAGTTGTTTACCTGGCAGATGTCTATGACAAAGAGAGGTTTGAGTGAAATACTCACGTTAAATAAAATCCCAAATAAAAATCTAAATTTGAATGAAAACAATGTAATAGTAAATTATCTAAAACATTAAATTATAAAGAATAAAAAAATTATTGGGAAAGTAAGCAAAACTTACTAACAACTAAAAATAGTAAAAACTTTCGATCAAAAGTCAACTTATTAATAGAAATTAAAAATCTAAAATAATATTTAAAATAAAAGGATGAGTTTAACAAACTTAATAAGGAAATAATATTTAATATATATTTTAATTATTTATATGTATAAGGATTGAAATACACAAACACATGTATATTAAACATAATAACACGTGGTATTGGAATACATGTCAAAAATAAAATAAAACTATTGGATCAAATAATGGTTGAAATCCTAATGATTTGATAGTATATGATGTTTGTTGTTCCAATCATTGTGGGAGGATCAATCGGTCACAAGTTGATGTCTTTCTCACAAATTAGGTATATAGAATACTATGTACACATAAACCAACTATTTTTTGTTAGCATGAAGTTATTGACATGTATACCAATATCAAGATATAACAGATATTCACATGAATATCATATTGAATATAATTTAATTTAATAGAAAACAAGTGTGAAATCAAGAATGAATAAGTAAATAGTAAGTGTGATATATATGTATTCAAGAATTAACTAATTGTATTAATAAAATAATCAATATAAATATGGTATTTATATGCATATTAAAGATTATTTCACTCATCAAGAAAAACAGAGCAAAAGATAAACAAATGTATAATCAAAGATTCATGAGGATCACTAATAGAAACATCAACAAAACCTATAACGGATATGAAAAAACACTAAAAACAATTCAAAGCATATAATATAAAATATTACAACTTTAAACTTAAAAATCAAAATGTAATTATAAAGCCAAACTAATTCACCTAATTAACCCCTACTTCTAGGTCAATTGGTCAATTGATTAGACCAATTAGTCGAGCATTACCACAAGCCAACCGATTGATTGACAGCATCAAGCCAACCAGTTAACCTTGATCAGTTGATCACGATTTCTAAAATCTTGATCAAACAGTTCTTCAAATCTATAAATCTCATAACTAGGGTCGAAATTAGGGGGTGGCAAACAGGGCCCGGGCCCTTGCAAGACATGTTAATTTTTTTTATTTTTAATTTAAATAAATAAGCTTTTTAATAATATATATATATATATATATATATATATATTAGTTTTTTCCTCCCCTGTAAAATGAACCTAGCTCCGCCCCTGCTCATAACAATCAATATATTCTTCGACACCTATAATTTCAGTAATTTAATTAGTTCATTTTAATCCAAATAACACCCTAAAACATTGATTAAATTCCTTAAATAGGTCAATCATAAAATCATAATAAAAACCCTAAACTCTTCTTTAATTTTTCCACCAACAATTTTCTAATAGAAAATAATAAAAAGAGAGATACTTGTTTCTTTAATCCTTTTCGAAACCTAGAACTTAAAATGCATAATGAAACATTAAAAATACCCTAAAAAATTAAATTTAAAGACAAATGGTATTATTTGTGTTTTTATAATAGTTTTTTTTAATGATTATCATATCAGCTCAGGAATAATTTTTTATTTGGTTAAATTAAAAAAAAAGGGCATGCATATAATGCACCTGGGCGAGAGGGAGGCATCCATACCTTTCAAGCGATGCCTCCTAGCATTAAAAAAATGCTCTTCCATTGTGTTGTTAGAGGCAATGTTGTGTTCTATTCTTATTGGTATAGAAAGTGTCATTAATGGTGGTCTAGTTTGCTGTCATTGAGTTTTTTTTTCTCCTTCTCACTCCCTCCCCTAAAAATTATGGTTGACTCTCATGGTTATTGGTATTTTAACTTTAATCCTTATTTTTTGGTTCCTAATTTTTTATTTTAATCATTTTGTAGAAGTTTTATTTGTTTTTAATTTCATTATTTAATCCTGATTTATCAAATATTTTATTTTCCAACATGGTTTTCATTCTTTGGATTTCTATATTTTTTCTTGGTCCTTTCGTAAAAACTTTAGTGGTTTTCAATTTTATATTTCTATTCAAATTGATAATATTAGTTTTTTTAATTAGTCCTCATTGTTTTAATTTCTATTTTTTTCTTGTGTTGTTTTTGTAAAATTTATTAGTCTTTTTAATTTTACACTGCAATTAAAACATTGTTTTTATTTTTTATGCCAGTCTTGATTCTCATTTTTTTTAAATTTTTTTGTTCTTTTACTAATTTGAATCTTTTTCCTCAATTTCACCCTTCAATTAAAAATAAAATTTATTTTGTATTTTAATTTTTATCATTATTTTTTTAATTACAATTTTTTTATATAATTGATTTTTTTTTAATTTTATCCCTCAATATTTAATTGATTGAGAATTTAACTTTATGATTTTTGTAGATCGAATGCTTTGGATCTAATAGTCATGAATTTGGAAAATTAATATATTTTTTATTTATAATTTTTTTATTTATAATTCTCTTTAATTTTTTTTTCAAGCGATGCCTCCTAGCATTAAAAAATGCTCTTCCACTGTGTTGTTAGAGGCAATGTTATGTTCTATTCTTATTGGTATAAAAAGTGTCATTAATGGTGGTCTGGTTTGCTGTCAGTGAGTTTTTTTTTCTCCGTCTCACTCCCTCCCCTAAAAATTATGGTTGACTCTCATGGTTATTGGTATTTTAACTTTAATCCTTATTTTTTGGTTCCTAATTTTTTATTTTAATCATTTTGTAGAAGTTTTATTTGTTTTTAATTTCATTATTTAATCCTGATTTATCAAATATTTTATTTTCCAACATGGTTTTCATTCTTTGGATTTCTATATTTTTTCTTGGTCCTTTCGTAAAAACTTTAGTGGTTTTCAATTTTATATTTCTATTCAAATTGATAATATTAGTTTTTTTAATTAGTCCTCATTGTTTTAATTTCTATTTTTTTCTTGTGTTGTTTTTGTAAAATTTATTAGTCTTTTTAATTTTACACTGCAATTAAAACATTGTTTTTATTTTTTATGCCAGTCTTGATTCTCATTTTTTTTAAATTTTTTTGTTCTTTTACTAATTTGAATCTTTTTCCTCAATTTCACCCTTCAATTAAAAATAAAATTTATTTTATATTTTAATTTTTATTGTTATTTTTTTAATTGCAATTTTTTTATATAATTAATTTTTTTTTTTAATTTTATTCCTCAATATTTAATTGATTGAGAATTTAACTTTATGATTTTTGTAGATTGAATGCTTTGGATCTAATGAATTAATTCATGAATTTAGAAAATTAATATATTTTTTTATTTATAATTCTCTTTAATTTAATTATTTGATTCATGTAATCTAGATTGATTATAAATTTGACGAGATATTTTTGTTGGTTAACTCTTACCAGTCTTGACTAAAGCTTGCCCTTGATAATGGCTTTCGTGAGAATGTTAAATAATTAAGAAATGGACACTGCAGCTTTTAATTAGTGAAGAAGCCACTTGCTGGCATGATGTAACAGTGAACATGTTGAAGAATAGAACCACAGGAAATTCACCTTTTTTATTATAAATAAAAATCAAATCTTCCAAATTAGAATAGCACCATATCGTGTGCCCTTTTGTTTTTTACCACATCACATGATGTTCTAGTGCGTCCACTCAAGATTTAAATCAATTCTAATTAAAAAAAACCAAAAAAAAAAAACTCTATTGACCTTTTTGACCTGATAAAAAAACTAGAGGTTTTTTTTAAGAGCTTATCAAAAATTCATTAATTTTTTTAAAAATATTTTTTATAAAAACAAAATCAATTTAACCCTTTATTTTTTATTTTTTATTTTTTATGCATGATATGAATAAGAAATTCAACAACATATCATCTAGCAACGCACCTTCATCACTACAAAATCCTAAGAAATCTGAATTCCTTGTGGTCCCTTGTCCTGCAAATAAAAATGCTATCAAGGAGAACTCCTTGCCTTGAACATCACTTTCCTCTTATAATCTTTGGTCAAGTGATCTAAAAACAAAAATAATTGAAGTATGGTTAGATTAAAAATAAACATTAATTTCATCCTTTTTTTACATTTTAATAGTAATTATCATCATTATTATAAAATTTAATTCAAGATAAGATTTAGAACACGAGCGGAAAGGATAAACCTAAGTTAAAATGATTTTTTTTAATAAAAAGATCAAAATGATATCATTTGAATGAGAAAAAAATTCAAACAAAAATATCAACAAGTTGAGGATTGGATATTAGTATGGGTTGATTTGAATTTTTGATTAAGTTATACATCAATGCCTTAACTTATTTTTTCTTTAATTTGAATTAAATCAAGCTCCAAGTTTAATAAGTCCTATCTCAACTTGCTAGACTGATCTATATTTTATAATTAGGCTTATCATGGACCTCAAATCATTCATTTTCAACTATTCATGAACTAATATATACACACACATAATATACATAATAAAAATAATTTTAGATGACAAAATCAATTCAAAATTAGATTTCATCCAAAAGAGACTTTGATAGGTACAAGAAATGAAGTGATTTGAATTTTTGATTAAGTTATACATCGATGTCTTAACTTATTTTTTTTTTAATTCGAATTAAATCAAGCTCCGAGTTTAACAAGTCCGGTCTCAACTTGCTAGATTGATCTATATTTTATAATTAGGCTTATCATGGACCTCAAATCATTCATTTTTCAACTATTCATGAACTAATATATATATACACACACATAATATACATAATAAAAATAATTTTAGATGACAAAATCAATTCAAAATTAGATTTCATCCAAAAGAGACTTTGATAGGTATACAATTATTATTATTATTTAAGAAAGAGAATAAGACTATTAGTTAATGTTAACATATATGATCTAGACAGCAACTAAGAAGAATTTAGCATTTTTAGATATTAATTCAACCAATGATCAGTCATTGATAATTAATTTATTTTATAATGATTTTTTAATATTTTTTAATTATATATAAATGAAACATATTTATTATATTTTCCACCATGTTAAAAAAATTAAAAAAATATATAATGTAAATATTCAATGAAAAATAGGGAAAATAAAACCTGAAAGATTAAAACATTTTTTAATAAAAAGTACAAGGACTAAAACGTAAGTTGACAAAATATTAAAGCTCCTATTCTCACTATGGAAAAAGTTCAAAAAAAAGTCAGCCGACGTTTCCAACTTCACTTGCTCCTTTTTGGACCTCTGACCTCAACGAAGTCATCATTGGACTCTCCTCTCTTCAATGGCATCAAGACTTCCACTTCTCCACTCTCCGGTTGTCCCATTCCGCCGGCCATGTTTCGTTTCCCGCCAAAATTCTCCTACTACCACTGCTAACCCCACCAGAAGAACGTTACTATCAGCAAATTACGGGAACCAGACATCATTTCTTTCACCTCAAAAGAACCCGAATTTGATTCGATCTTCTGTAACTGTTAGATCCAATATGATTCTGAATTTCCCTCTTATTTCCCCTACTGATCCATGGGGTATGTGGACTGCTCTCTTCGCCACTGGCGCTTTCGGTATCTGGTAATTCACCTTCCCTTCTCTTGTCTTTTCATTATAATATTTTGGTGTTAGTCTCATCTGTGCAATCTGCGCTGTTCGTTGAATTCTGTATGCATGAACGTGGAACAACATTTAGCTGTCAAACTGATTTATTTTAAGGTGAGTTTTGATGATTTTGATACGGTGATGTGAAAACCATCGGAGAAAGACATCTGAAAAGGAATGAATTTGATGTTTTTTCAGGACGAAAAGTACTTACAGGTTGTTTGGTAACTTTAGATTTGAAACCGAATCAATTCAATGTGCTAAAATAGTTGGAATCGATTTTAGTATAGAATTGTTTCCAAAGAAGATTTTAGAGTTAATTGGAATGGTTGAGGTGTATGTTTGATACTGTGAACTGATTTGTTACTGTTGCTGTTAAGGTCAGAGAGGACCAAGATTGGAAGTGCATTGAGTGGTGCATTAGTGAGTACTTTAGTTGGACTAGCAGCTAGTAATTTGGGAATTATTTCATGTGAATCTCCTGCTTATTCTACTGTACTGAAGTTTCTACTACCATTGGCTGTTCCATTGTTGCTGTTTAGAGCTGATTTGCGACGTGTAATTCAGTCTACTGGGACTCTTCTCTTGGCTTTCTTGTTAGGATCAGGTGATAATCAAACTTTTGATAGTCATTTCTTGTAGAGAAAATTTGTTAAATGGGTTTTGATATATAATGGGGTTGGGTTTGTAAAGAAAATTGTTTGTTCTTCTTTTTTATCCGGTTAGAAATTGGTTTTTGAGGGTTTTGCTGTGTGACAGTTGCGACAACAGTTGGAACAGTATTAGCCTATATGATGGTGCCAATGCGAGCACTAGGTCAGGATAGTTGGAAAATAGCAGCTGCTCTCATGGGTAGACATATTGGTGGAGGTATAACCCTGCATGGTTGGCATGTTTCTTGCAACTGTATAGTATCCTCATTCGTGCAGTCATTGATGCCTTGTTTGCATTTTGAACTCATCATCTTGACTGATTTGGTGATTTGTATGGTTTGATAATTGTGTAGCTGTGAATTATGTTGCCATTTCGGACGCTCTTGGGGTATCTCCATCAGTTTTAGCTGCTGGGCTAGCTGCAGATAATGTTATTTGTGCAGTGTATTTCACATCATTGTTTGCTTTGGCATCTAAGATTCCTGCTGAGTCTTCAGCATCAATCGATGGTATGCAACATTCCACCTTTACATTACTTGAATGCTAGCAATTCCACTATCTTTTGGTGGATGAGTTACTTGTTCTGTTATATGTAAATGATTCAGAATTCTTCATTTTGATTGTTATACATGACTGCTGATCTTGTCCACCATTTTCCTTGGTTCCCCTGCTCGCTCTTTAGACTTTTATCCCATCTGTTGCTGTCCTGTCTTATGATTGCCTTCATGCCTTGAACTTGACTAGTGGAATATTTTCTGGCAGGTTCTGGAATGGACAGCGGGTCTGAGTCAGGCAACAAGCTTCCTGTTCTGCAGACTGCCACTGCCCTTGCTGTGTCGTTTGCTATCTGCAAGGCTGGAGAATATATCACAAAGTTCTTTGCAATTCCGGGAGGCATCCTGCCAGCCGTTACAGCCATTGTTGTTATCCTAGCAACTGCATTTCCAACCCAGTTCAATCACCTTGCACCATCTGGTGAGGCTTTGGCCCTGATTCTGATGCAGGTGAGCTGAGTTTTAGACAATTCTGTTTATTTAGTTGGTTTGCATCATCCATGAAGAAGCTGAATTGCTCTGAGTTTTGCTGTTAAAATTCAACTCCATAGCTCGTCAGTAAATTGCTTTCCGAGCTCTTTTATCTTGCCTTTTCCTCTTTTTATCTCCTTAACTGTGGAAATAATTTTATTTTTTTGTATCTAATAAAAAACAACACGCCTTCAATTTCCTTTCTGATAAACAGGTATTTTTTGCTGTGGTTGGTGCAAGTGGAAACGTAAGGAATGTGATCAATACTGCGCCCAGCATTTTCATGTTTGCTTTGGTCCAGATTGCCATTCATCTTGCTGTGATCCTTGGACTTGGAAAGCTATTTCGCTTCGACCAAAAGCTGTTGCTAATTGCATCAAATGCTAATGTTGGAGGCCCCACAACTGCATGTGGAATGGCCACTGCTAAAGGGTGGAGTTCATTGGTTGTTCCCGGCATTCTTGCTGGCATTTTCGGAATTGCCACAGCGACTTTTCTTGGCATTGCTTTTGGAGCAAATGTTCTTCAATACATGTGCAAGTTTTAGATTTGGAGGTTGGCTTAACTTGTATAATCCGTATAATAAGAAACAATTCCATGCACTACCCCTTGATTCCTTCTTGATACATCATTCTGCTTACCATTGTCTTCCTTCATATTTGATGCAGGTAGCACATTGTCCACTGCTAGCAAAACTCAATAATTTGTCGGGTTTGAGTTATGTTCACGCACCAAAAAAATCTAAAATTGCAAGCTAATGACCAAACACTCTGTATTTTGAAATTGGAAACGAGCATCAAATTGTAGATTTGAAGTTATTTAACTTTAGCCTCCTCTCGAAATGTCTTTCAACCACATTTTCCTTGGTTCGATATTGAAACAAAGTACGAAATATATGGTTCAACAACTTGAGTTATGGTTGAACTTGGCCGCAGACTTGAGAGTTGAGACATGGCTGAATTAGGCCATGAGTTGTGGTCGATCCTGAACATAGACTTGAGAGTTGAAATTGTTAGTGTATATACCATGATATTGATTTTGTTTATGTTTATATATTTAATTTATTAATAAAAACTTATTTATTTTTATTATTTATCAAATATTTAATTAATAAATATAGAATAAAGATAAAGTGTTTAGAATAAATGTCTTGCAAAGAAAAATATAAAGTGTTTTACAAAAAAAATATAAAGTTGTTATAAATGTGAGATTCTTATTGTATCAAGACATTGTTTTTAAATGTTCTTGGTCAATTATCTATTAAGACTAAGCATTAGTTAGAGCAGTTGAGACTTATATATTTTATGTTATTTTCTTTATGAAATAAAATAGTTGTTCTCATAAACTGAAGTATGAGGGATACTTAGAACTAATATGAAGGTGTTTATTAGATGACATGAAAAGTGAACTTACCCATATGAGAATCTTATATGGAGATATTATATGTGTCTATGGAAAGGCTCACGTGATGATTGTGTAAGTGATCACTAGACTTGAAATCACCAAGTTATCTTATATAAGAAGCGTTATGCTTTGATCCTCACCATACATTGTCATAATTAAGGGTAACAAATAAGCAGATATTTGGTATAACATGAACTATATGAAAGTATTTAAGTAATCAAAAGATGATTTATCATCCTAAGTAAATTAAGAAAAATATTTCATATGTTCTCAGATAGTATTGATTGTAAATCCTTTAACAAAATAGAATGAGATTAGTAAAGAGTTTCAAATCTTATTCAAATAATCTATGATTGCAATATTACGAACAAACATGGTTTGACATATTAGACACACTTTATGCTATAATATCTAAATTAGAATATTTTTTATAAAGAAATAACAATTACACTTATAAACTCATCATTGAAAGGTTAAGTCAAACCACTTATAACTTTTTTAATATCTGGGAGATCATGACAAGTTGCTAAACATTGTATTTGATCTTCAAATATAAATCAATCAATTGCTGAATTGATAATAAATCAATTTATTTATTTTATTTTATTTAGAATTGTGATTTATATATGGGCCATTTTATTAGGGAACTTAATGGGTCACACATATAAAAATCAGTGGTTAGAAATTAAAATGTGTTTATGAATATGACTTTATTGTAAATAAGTTTTAGAAATTGAGTACCAGAGTGTAAATTATACATGGAATTACAATTTTAGATCTAAAAAAATCAAGAAGGGACTTGATTAAATAAATTTCTAAAATTAGCCTAAAACAATATATATGATATTTTATTTATTTATAGGGTTTTTAGGTTTCCCTATAAATAAAATATTATGTCTCTTATTTCTTTAAAGTTTTTAGGTGAGAAGAATACAATACAGAAACACCTAAACATAAAATAAAAGAGTTAGCACTATAAGATATAACAATGTCTCTCTCTTAAAAGATTTTAAGAGATTTATCGTTAGTAGTTCGTGTAGATTACTTTTAGAGACCAAACATTTTAATGGCTTGTGATTTACGAAAACCCAACCTTAAATATATTCAAAGCTAAAAAGAAGTTTAGATCCTCAGGTAATCTTCGCATTAACTTTAAACATATTTAGATTTGTTTAATAGGATTCTTGGGACTCACGATATTAAATCTACTGTTTCTACTACGTGTATGTGTTTCTGGAAACCAAACATAAACATAGTTAAATCCGACCATAGAGGTGACAGAATTTCAAAAACAACTTTTATAAAAAAACATCACACTCAAATATA